CCCTTTTAAAGATGATTGATCTAAAACCCCAAAAATGGGTGGTTGGGAATTTTGGGGATTTAAAGCCCAGACATTTTAAAGTTGCCAAGGTTGAGAAACACTGGCTTAAGCTGACCTTTGATGTGCATCAAAAAGATTTCTGCATGAATGGATAATAATGCATGCGCTCCCCCTTGCACACATACACACACACACACACACACACTGCTAGCCACAAGAAGAGCCGCAGAAGAGAAGAAATGACCTTGTAGCTCAATAGAGACCGAGCAAGACTTGGGGAAGCATCACACCGTATGCGCTCTGCAAGATGCAACAGAAGCCCGGGCTTAGCTTTTTCACTTTTATAAGGGAGGGGGAATCTTTATAAGGACTTCAAGGGACTTCTCCTCTCCTTTCCCCCCTCCTCAGGGGGGTGGGGGGGAGAAAAGCAAACCTATTAAATCTGGTGGGGTAATTTAGACAAGGGACCTCGAGCCTCGGAGATGAAAGAAAGACTCTCCATCGGAAGAAGCAAGACGCAACCAGCGAGCCCAATGGGGCTGGCATCAGACCCACACGTGAGCTTCAAAGAGCCACGCCTGTGCAAGAATCCACGTGTATGCGGGGAGGGAAGAGGAAGCCCCCAGCCTGCCTTCAAGCAGGCAGCAGGCAAACTGCTTCTTCAGCAGCTCCGTGAGTTAATAATACCCTTCTCGGCGGGAGCAAGGATTTATACTGTAAGATCATCCCTTTCTGGAGATAAACAAGACTTCTCTGGAAGGGTGTGTTTCAGGGAGGCTGGGTGCCCCGTGGGGCTTGGCGGGCACGCCATTCAGGAAATTGGAGAAGAATGGGATTGTCTCCGAAAAAGAACAGAATGCCCACTGAGAAATAGCCCGAGAACAACCCCCCAGGCATAAACCACCTGATCTTTCTAGTAACCTTGGCCTGTCCCCACCAGCTCCATTTAAAGAGGAGAAACCCCATGTTAGCCAATAAATTGGCATCAGCGATGAATATCCTGATTTGGCCTGGGGCATTATGCCTGGCTGTGTTCGGCTCCGTATGGGTTGAGGTGCCCAAACCTGCTAAATCAAAACCGCAGCAACCCCAGCAAGGTGTGCATCATTTGGGTCCACAGCAGGTGACAACCTGAACTGAGACTGCTTTGGGCCTTCAAGGATGGGTCAAGCAGAGCCCCAGTACAGCAGACCCTCTCGGGCTTTCGGGCGCTCATTAGGCGTTGCATCTTCCTGGCAACAAGAAAAATGCTTTTCCAAACTTCTTCCCCGCATCTGAGGTTTTCGAGGCGTCGGAGCAATTGCTGAGTTTTTGCTCGCCTGCCTGAGTCAAGCAAACGTCGCTCTCCCTTTGTAATTATCTTTAGCACGGACGGCGCGCGCTCTTAAAACAACTGCGGGATCGAATCCTTGTTTCCCTACGGTTAAGGACCCAATTATGAACTTTTCCCAGGCTAATCTCTCTCCAAAATCTACAGACCCAGCAATGCTCATTTTAAAATACCTGCTTAGCCTAGAGGGCTTTGTTTAGTAGGAGCTTTGAAGAGGCAAATAAAACAGCGTTTGGTTTACATTACTCATCGCGTTACCCATTTTGCACTACTGGCTGAGATGCAGAGAGTAAGAAGGTAAGAACCGCCTCTGTGGGTTCAGATCACCGGCAGCGTCCAAGAGTGGCCTCTCTTTCTGTTTTCCTTCTGGAGCCAACAGACCCCCCCCCAATTCCTTTACAAACTCAATGCGGAAACATCTCCCCGGTTGGTGATCCCCCAGCATCAGCCCCTTGCAGGTAGAGTGCTGCTGGACTTGGAAACTCTGCTCCCTCAGAGCGGAGCTGCGAACAATGAGGGTCTAAAGAGCTGAGGGCCAGACGTCTAAGAAATGTTTCTAGAGGAAAACAGCGACGAGGTAATTATCTGTATCGTGAGAAGGTTGCCGAGATAAAAATAGGCACCGCTGGTTTGCTAGTGTGAAAGAAGAGTTTATTATGAAATGCTAATTTTAACTTGGCTGAGTTAACCAAACAATTTTTTTCCCCCCAGTCAGGCAGATTCTCTCTTCTGTTTTGCAGAAAAACCTGTGCATTTCATCAAAGGTAGGGTTCTCAAATAATTAGATCAGTGTTTTTCAGCCTCGGCAACTTTAAGGTGGGTGGATTTCAACTCCCAGAAGTGAAGGTGTAGAGTTGGATCATCTGTCTCTAGTTCTCTCTGTCATGTATGATGATGTATCATCATCCACGTAAATGATGAGAAACACCCCAGTAATTACTGAATTCCAGGGGACGGTTCA